CTGATGGAGAGGCATGGGGTCTTTAAGTGATGATTTGACATTATAGCAGTGCAGAAGACTAAGATTTAAGGTATCTCCACTGATAAATATCAAGGACTAAATCAACCACTGTTCAGTGAAGTGAGACTAATATACATGTCTTGAAATATGCCCTTACATTTTCTTGATTTCTTCAGATTTTTCAGTTAAGAATCTTGATTTGGACTCCTTGAAAGTTCAGCACCCAAGACAATTTGTTATCTGAGCTGGGAAAAAAGTGCATGGGAACCCACTGCTCTTCTGAACCCACTAACTGCCTCCGTACTGCTGATTCTGCAAGGTTTAATGTCTACTTGCTGCATTTCCACGTGGAAGCAGAATTTGAACTCCTTTGGGTTGTATATCTCACTCATAGATTCATTAGGGCAATGATTCAAGAGTCCCATTCTCCGTGATCCAATTAACTTCCAATGTTTGGTGTCTGTTCAGCTGTGCACAAAGAGCTGTTCTCTGAACTGTTTTTCTGATTAAAGATTAACAATGCGATAGAAGAAGGAAACATGGGCATCCTTGGAGTTTGTTTCTTACATCAGCTGGGTTAAACCTTTACTATCGTTTCTCACTGTGTATTTTCTCTTTGTGTTTGGCAATCAAATTCTGCACAGGTCTAGCACGTTTCCCCCAGTTTAGTCAAAACAAGAGGAAAACTTTCTGCCTTTTTAAGCTTTTGACTCTTCGACCCTTGCACAAACAGCAACAGAAACCCTTAATAACTGACTAAGAGGAGCTGTCTTTAAAACTTTCTTTGCTATCTCTTAGATTAAAGAGTATTCTGTAAAAACAGTGGAAATCACTGAGGTGTATTAAACTGTATAACCACACTAATTTCTTTTGAAATGGAAGAAGTAATGTCCTTCCCAATAAACATCCTTCTTCCAAACAGACCCAGGCACGCAGCTCTGCTGTTTGCCACAAGCAGCAAACGGTGCATTACTGGATGGCATGACTGTTTCTAAATATATCATAATGCTAGATGAAACAGTTAATAGACAAATTACAATTATGGTTAATAATTTTTAGACCACTTCCCTGGCTTGTGTCTGAACAATCAATCATCCTTGGTACTTTCAGCTCCAGTAAGCTTATGTTAAATACTTCCCCTTTTATATATCCCACATCTGTACACTATTTTGTCTTGGTTTTCTTTGTCATGCTATATAATTATAATAATTTACAGTCTGGAGCAGGATTTTAAGCACATAGACAACACTTGAAAGTATTAAGTCTTTTAACTTAACAGAAGTTGGTTTGGTTCTGCTACAAGAATCACTGTTGTTTAAAGAGATGATTTGTCTTCTCAAAGTCAAGGTGAGCATTGGAGGGAGAGCAAAGCCCAGCCTTTCCCATGCCTTGGGCACAGCCCATATTTAGCTGATTGTTCATGAACTGTCCCAGCACTGTGCCCCAGACAGCTCTGTGCCCTCCTCACCCTCCTCTTTGCACTGAGTGGTAATTTATAGCCTGCCTAGACACCAGCCAATCAATACCCTCCACGATGATTTCCATCTGTCTTTGCTTTGCTATGCTCCCATCTTCCCTTTGCTTTGGGCAATAAGGAAAACAGTAGACTGCATGTTCTGATGTTCCTCGGTCTGAGGTCTGAGTAACTTTTATAGGATTGTAGAGATGGGGAGCAGAGAATTGTGTTTTTTGGGGCAAACAAGAAATCCAAGTCGGATCTGAATCCTAAATGATGTCTTCTAGAAGAAGCTGTAGCTCCCATCTCAGAATCAGAGGTATGGGAGGCAAAACAAAAAACAATCAAATAAACAGAACAAAACAAAAAAAAAAGGGGGAAACAAATCTAAAATATTTTAATACTATCCTTCTTTTCAAGTGATCAGACTGTATATTTTCTCCTGAGAATCTTCCAGGCCAGCACTGAAGCACTGAGTTAATTCTGAATCTGCAACTTTCAGTTGCTTAGAATAGCATCTTTCTTTTTTTAATCTCACTCATTAGTTGAAATGCTGTGTTGTTTTTTTTTTTTTAATTAGGATATTTGGTGGTCTCTGAAGAAATGCTTCATCTCTGTGAAAGTGGGACACTGAAGGCACAAGTTGACAACAGCACCAGAAAATATTTCAACCGTTTTGCGACTACAGCTTCAAGAACTGAACAGTGTTTAAAGGAGCCAGATGAATTAGAAGACGATAAAAGTAAACTCGCCTTCCCTGAAACAGGTGATGGTGTGAAAGAGGTTATCTCCTGCTGTCATTATGAAGAGGGGCAATATCTCACTGCAAAACAGGTGATGAAGGTAGCGATTGTCCCTGGTGCAAGAGCAAAGCAAAGGCGTGTGTGTTTGCAGAGCGGTGTTAAGGCACAGACACCACTCTGACAGGTGCGGTGCGAACGCGACATAGACTTGGAAACAAAAGTGAGACATTGGAGGAAAGTGAAAATGGAAAACTTTCCAGATGCCAGGTGGAAAATGATATTAAAGCTGTCAAAATAAGTCACAACAAAGACTGGATTTTCTCATAGACTAACAGGAGTCATGTTCTGCAGAAGAATGGAGTTCTCAACCACAAGACAGAGTATCACAAATGAAACAATTACGAGCATTGGAGGTTAAACTGGGGCCTATTTGTTTCAGGGTTTTTTTTTGCTTTCGTCTCCCTCTTTTTTTTCCTTTTTATTTTTTTCCTTTTCTCTTCCAAATGCACTACAGCAGTCTTGATTTACTCTGCATTTTGTGGACAGGTCAAGAATGTGTAAATAAATCACACCGTCATTTCTTATCGTAGTTATCTATTCTGGGCCTAATTCCAAACCCAGTTAAATTGATGGCAATCCTTCCATTGGCATCAGAGCACTGTAATTTAGAACCTGTGATGGAGGTGCAAAGCATCACGGTAGAGGCTTGTTAAACAGCCTCTGCAGTCATCCAAAGTGATTTTCTAAAATACAGTAAGGAAAGGGAACTTAGAACTACCTTCAAGGTCAAATATGCTTTATGTACATGCTAATGGAGCATTTAACAAAGCTCCACCTAACAAGCATTAAACGTCCTAAATATTATAAAAGGGGTTATTCAGATTTAAGACTGACAATCTGAACAGATAACCCACTATTTTACTCTTTTCAAAAATCAGCTGCACTGTTTATACTGGGGTAGAAAACCACAGATCAGAACAAAGTTCACTGTGTTTCCTTAGTGCAGTCAAGGGTAGAATTTACTCTGCTGATTGAGGATTTCAGTTGTCCATGTATTCATTTTCATGCACTGGTAGATTCTTATCAGCAATTTATCTGCAATTTTGTGGCCGAATTTTGTTCCTTTATGCAACATTACTTTAGCACAAGAAAATGTGCCTACATTAAATTCCTTATACTCCTTATAAACTACTCCTAACAAACAATAATTCATACTGAATGTTTACCCCCCAAAGTATAATTATGACTTTAAAAATAAAATGGCTCTCTATTCTTTTCATGATAGATTTTTCAGGCAGACTGTTGATGTGTTAGAAAGAACCAGACTCCCAGAGGAGTGGGTAGAAGCTTGATTGCAGCTAGAGATAGACAATGCAGCAGCAGTGGTAACTGGAGACTGTACACAGAACAGGCCATAATGGCCATTATGGAGCTGTTAACCTCTAGTGTGTCAAAACCTAATCAGAAACTGGTTGAATTTGCAGCTTGCTGATCCAAGTGATTCCTTTAAATTCAACAAAAAAAAATGAACTGAAGGGCTATTCTGTGTTTGAGTTATAAACCCTTTAAAATATCAGTTAATAATGGAAATAATGACAGACCTTTAGTGTAGCTGCACGGATGGTGCTGGTATTAATAATGCAGAAGTGCAAGGCAGGACAGCTCTTGGAAGCTGATGACTGTTGAAGTGCAGAAAACCTCATTAAAATGACCTAAAGAGGAGTGTATTATTATAACAACTTTTTTCCTACAGTACCCTTCAACTATAATAATTGCACAATATATGTAGCAACTTGAAAAGAATCAGAAATGTGTAAGAAGTAAAGTCTCTGGCCACAGTTACTGGCAGCATAATTATGAGAATATATTATTTACTCTGCACCGTGTTCTTTAGTTTTGAGAGCCCAGAGATTCGTGGATGATGAATAATGTGGTGTCTAACTAAAATATCAGCCCTACATTGCTGGAACACATATTCAACCTCAAATAATTGCTTTGGAATTTTGTTGATTACAAGTAGCAGAATAGTTATGACTAACTTGCTGATGTTAAATGTAAAAAATTTGATATTATTTTTGCGTTTAAGATTCTGCAGTGGATGGGAGTAGTTGTTGTCAAGGATATTTATGGGATTTTCAGTTGCTCTCTCTGAGGATAAGGTCCAATGATCTAAAATCATGCTTTTTCAAGATGTGAAGAGTTTAATTTTTCATTCTTACAACTAATTACAGTGGACCCACTAATGTACTTTTCACAGCTACATCCTTTGCAGGAATCAGACTCACCGGCTTCTCCAATGGTGCTATATAGCCCTCCTATCCCAGGTACCTACCACACAGAAATAGGAATAATAACCCTGAAAAATTCCATGGAAAAGGGAATGTGTGGTTCCTAGGTACCCAGTGGTGTTAACTGTGCTCAGAAACACAAAATATAATGGCTTTGGGCATGACCCCACCTCATCTGAGGGTACAGCTTGAAAGGCCAGTGGGGTGTGCTCCTTTTGTGCTATAGATATTTCACAAATGCCAGTTTTACTGTGTTACTTCCAAGGCAAGAAATGCCATCAGTGGGTCTGGGGCTTTGACTAGTGTTCAGTAATTCAGTTTAACAGGATCTGGACCACACTGGGCTGCAGTCCCTTTGTAATGTACTACAATGCGTGTACCTGCAACACACTGAGCTAATATTTAGAGGTAAAGCTCCAAATCTGTCCTTTGCACTGTAATAGAGTATTCATAGTAAGTGGGCCTTATAAAACACTTGATGGTTGGAAATCACTAGTCTAGAAGGGTATGCAAGATTCAACGTTAAGTCTCTCAAATCGCACAAGTTTACCTCAAAGACATTTTTACAATGCCTTTGGAGAACTCTTTTGAACTTGCTCTCATTGAATACCCAATCCTGGCCTAAAGTACAGTGTAATGATGCTTATATATCGCTCCACTGGCTCTGCAAGCCCACTTGAGCCAGTTTTGTACAACACTTCAGCTCCTGGGTGGGAGCCGCCGCCGCAGCAGCGTCAGGCAGCCCTTCAGCACCACTCAGCTCCACGGCACCCGGCTGAAGGGTTTCCGTCAGGAAAACATGGGAAGTACTCCAGAGATTTTGCAAGTGGGGGGACCAGCTGAGCTCAGCCCCGTGGTCTCCAGCCAAGTGGGAGCAGGAGGTTAAGGGCCTGCAATTAAGACAGAGAGATCTTCATTTAGAGCTTGAGGGTGGCAAAATGGCAGCTGCTCCTACAGGCCCTGCTGTGCTCTCACTGTGAGGGGACGGGCTCTTTGCTGAGCACTGGGCACCCCATGCACAGACGGGCAAAGCTCTGCTGGTCCACCCACTTCAGGGCTTTGTGCCTCCCGAAGAATTAGAGGTGAGAACCAGCTGTCTCACACGGGAGCAGCTGCCCACAGGTGGGCTTCCCCCTGCAGCTGAGGGAGCGGCGCAGGGAGGGCAGGGCCGCCATGCCGAGGTGCTCAACGGGCCGCTGAGCCTCTTCTCCGTTGTGGAGGTGGAGGGCGGAGGGTGGGAGGAGGGACCGCCCGCGGCGGGCCGTGAGGTGCCTTGTGGCGGGGGAGCTCCTCTCCTCCGGACGAGGAGCGGCAGAGGCTGAGGGGCGAGAACCGGCCGGAGGCTGCGAGAGGCGGGGAGCGGGACGGGCAGCGGGGGGGGGCTGCTGTGCGAGGCGGAGCCGGGGCTTGTCCCGAACGCCCGTGGTTTGCCCTCGTGTTTAACGTTGCCTTTCGAACAGGTTCGCTCAGCACCGTGCGAGGCCTTAGGGCTGCGGGGAAACCACGGACGGCAGCACAGAAGAGCGTGGTGGGGCCCGGCAAAGCCGAGCGAAGGAGCGCATCGTTGGCAGTGACCCGAGTGCGGGCGGGGGCTCCTGTCCCCCAGAGCGGTGCCCGTCTCCTCAGGAGGGTGAAAAACACGGGCCCTGCTCACAGAGTGTGTGAGAGCAGAGGAGGAGGAGGAGGAGGGAGCCCGGCAGGCCCCTGCCCATGGCAGCGGTGGCCGGGGCAGTGGTGCTGCCGGGGCAGGGGCAGGCCGCGGTGCACAGCGTGTCCCAGGGCATGGCTCTCACCCTGCGGGAAGGGATCTGCGTGTTCTATGACCTAGAGCTGGCACAGATTCATGTTCTGCAAGAGGAAGGGCAAGAAAAGAGTTCAGAAAGCAAGGCAACTGAGAAACCACTAGACATGCTCCGGATGGAGGTACAAGTGAAGATATGTTACCTGTTAGCTCCTGCTGTCACACCGATCCAGTTCTAAGTATCCAGTCCTTTGTGCAGCTTTTTATAATCTCATCCCATTTTTTTAAAAGACAAGCTAAAACTTTAGACTAGATAAGTAACTTGTTGAAATTCAGACAAGTTTTTAATTCAGTGCACCAGTTTGGTACTATTTGGTTTGACAGCCTCGATCTCTTAAGTACCATTACACAGTTTCCCTTCTCTATAATTCAGTTACTTCAGTACTGCAGTGTCGTTGTTAAAGCTGGGTGTGTAATATGGTTTCATTTGAAATTAATTTTATTAAAAAGACATGCAAACACTGCTATTTATTCTGTTCCAACTGTTGGTTTTATAATAAAATATTATTTTTATTCTTTTTAAATTCGTGCAGCTCTAGATAAGTTCTGAGGTAGGTCATATTTAATTTAGCTAATGCAAGACATATCACAACCCTGTAATTGCCTTATGACAAAGAAAGCATTACAATTAGGCTGCAGAAGTCCTATATTTAATAAAAAACTGAGAGCATACTTCTTGTTTTCTTTTAAAAGGTAAATGTACTAAAGTGAAATTTAAAATCTTTTTGAAAAATTAAGATACAGGGGTTTGTGTTCTCAGTAGTGTAATCTTTACATGACACTCTGAAATTTTACATAAAATTTTGAAGAGGTAGGGCTCAATTTTAGTAATTTTTCACTTCCCAGTTAAGCTCTTGTATGCTAAATGCAAATTTTTTGTTGCAGTTTTGTCCATCACATTTAAGCCTGAAAATCAAGATGAATTAGTAGCTTGTCTTTTGTTGACTGCTCAGTTGATTTGCCACTAGTGACTGCCGTTGATTGAGAAAGTTGTAAAACATTTTCTTTTTTAAATTAGATTGACAGAGATAATGATGCCATTGCGTTTGAAAATAACATCCAGCAGCTGAGCCCATCTGAAGAGGGGGAAGGAAAGAAACTTTTTTCCACAGTTGGGGAAAAAAAGAGCCAAAGCTGCAAAGCCAGTGAAAATTTGTCAGAGTTGTGTAATGAAAGTAAAGAGCGGGAATATGCAACTGCATCAGAACAAACAGTTGTAAAAAATTCCAAGAATCTAAAATTTCAGGCTTGTGCACCACGTCAGAAAAAAGGTAAAACGTTAACAATGTTTGTAGTTCATTTTTAGATAATGTATGTTGGGTGAGATTTTGAAGTGAGGCTGAAATTTTATATTAAATACAGTGGTAATTGTTGAGTTTAGGTTAGGTTAAGTCTTAACGTTCTGTGGAAATTTGGAAGAAGAAAAAAAACCTTTCAGCCTTAAGCGTTAGAAGATCTTGTTCAGGCTGATGTCAGGAGAGACATTTTGGATGGCATTTAGAAATTAATGGTCTTTTGAACAGTACGTGGTATGTGAAACCTCCAGGGAGATTTCAAAGTTAATATTGTATAAATGCCTTTGAATAAACCTAGTAATTTATTTAGTCTCTTAATTCATTCATTCAGCTTGAAAATGAGCTTTTTTGAGGGTTTATGGATGAGCTTAGAATTGTTCCACGTTGCTGGCAGAGGGTGGTCGGCAAGTATCAAACAATACCTGTCAGCAAAGCCTTTCCCAGAACCTAAATAAAAGTGACAGAAAATGGCTGATTTAAAGTTTTAGAAATGTGAAAGTACGTTGCAGAAGTTAAGGACTGACTTGGAAGGGAAAAGATAAGCATCTGTTTCCCTAGAAACTGTGTGTGTGTGCTGGAAAAGTTGGATGACATCAGTGATGTTGAGTCTGTAAACGTGTGTGTTGTAGCATCTGGATGTTAAGGTGTCTTGGCTGAGGTTGTTTATGGAAATTGTACAAATTGTTAATGTCCCATGTTTTAGTTACAGCCCTTATAGGAAGCACATTTGAGCAGCTTTAACAAAGCTAACAATGTTCTTTTGTGTGGGCATGAATCCACAATGAATAAATGACAATAAAGTGGTTTTGTTTGCTGTTACTGAAGTGTCATCTGCACATCTCTGTGTGGTATAAAGCATTGTATAAAATGCATTTTGGTCTCAGCATGAAAAACATTACAGAGAGTGCACTTGGGAGCTGAGACAACTGTTCTGGAAAGACTCCTCAAATATGACGTATTTGCCATTTCACAGTTTCAAATCTTCTTCATAACTGAAAGTGTTGCGCATTTAATCTCGTTACTCTCAAAAGAAATTAATTTCTGTTGTGCCATGAACTTTATTCTGTGACTTCTTCAAGCAATTGATTCTTTTTTTTTTCCCTCAAATTCAACTAGTAATTCTAAAGAGGCTTTTACATCATGATTTTTTTATATACACTTTACAGATTCAGGACTACCAGAAAGCTGAGAATAGCTTAAGCTGCCATTTCCAAATCTTTGAATAAGCTTCCTTAGTACTAATTACACAGTTGTCCTCAAGAAGTGTGTTGCACAGGTTGTAAGTGCCTTGATGAACCATGTCTTAATGATGATATTGAGAGAAGAAGTCTCATCCTGTCTTGGAGGTGAGAGCTAGGTTAGGAGTTAGGTTTCCTGAGATTAGATTCTAAACTGTATCACTAACGTATAGCACTATTTTTGGGGCAAATCACTCGAGTCTTAACAAAGTCCTTTGATGTAGAAGTATGAAGTATTTTTACCTAAAGTAGAGGGACTCTGTTGAAATTGGTATTTTTTGAAAATGTAAAGTCCTTATTTTGTGGCTTGTACAGTCTAAATATGTCTTTGTTCCAACAGGAGAAAAAGAAGGTTTCAGCTGCTGTTTCTGTTCATTCACCTCAGCCAGATTGTCAAATCTGAAGCGTCACTTGAAAACCCATTCTGATGAGAAACGTTACTTGTGTCACCTCTGCCCGAAGGCTTTTCGTACAGCAACTCTCCTGCACAACCATGTGAACACACATACAGGTGTCTAATGCTTGAAAATACTTCATTTTACACACTGTCTGCAAAACTGAATTAACAGGCAAATGACTTTGCCTTAGAGCTGTGATCATTTTGTACTCAGAAGTTTCTCTGATTTTGTTTGGTGTTCCATGCTGAAAAGACATTGTCTGTTGTTAGTAACTCTCTGTGTATGTGTTTGTTTATTTTATTAAATACCATTCTAAAAATTTTTGGCAAGTGAGTATGACTTCAGTTGTGCCTGATTCCTATATGCATAGTAGAATGTTCTGTGATGTTTTCGTTTTGCTGTATAAACATATGAAGCAGAGTGATAAATTGTGTTTATTATAAACTTATATTGTACATATATATTGAAGAAATTCTTTACTGTGAGAAGGGTGAGGCACTGGAGCACGTTGTTCAGAGAACCTGTGGATGCCCCATCCCTGGAAATGTTCAAAGTCAGGTTGGGTGGGACATTGGGCAACCTGATCTAGTGGAGGGCATTTGGTACAAGATGGTCTTTAAGGTCCCTTCCACTGCAAACCATTCTGTGATTTATTGTGTATAAAAAATCAGAAGATCAGGAAAGGTTCTATTAAAAAATTGTGAATATTGGTGTTAAATAAAATTCTAATGGTGTGTTCTTGCAGGGACCAAACCCTATAAGTGCAGTGACTGTGATACAGCATTTGTGACCAGGGGTGAGCTGTCACGACACAGGCGGTACAAACACACCTTAGAAAAACCTTTCAAGTGCACAATATGTGAATACTCCAGTGTAGAAGTAAGTACAATCATTTAGCTTTTTAAAACTAGTTTGAGGACATTTTTCTTATGCTGAAACTGCTGCCAGACAATGTGTTTGTGTGAATTTGATCCTCTTCCTTTACACTTCGTGTGGGGCAATACTAGCTGATGTCTAAAATAAAGGTCATATGTTGTGTTTATATACTTGATGAGGTTTGGTTTTCTTTTCAGAAATGAAATTTTCTTAATCAAGAAATAAAAAACGGAGAGTCTGCTTAAGGGTTCACTTGTTAAAAACAGGCTTTCAGAAATGCAGCTGTGATTGAATCACAGTCACCTCTGATTGAATCACTGTCACAGTTTAGTGGATATTCACTGTCTGAATTTTTTATGTGCTGTGTCCAGATCTGGAGGTGTAAGCAAGCCTTAACTTTATTCCATGCACCTTACCTTATTAAATAGATTTTGGATAGCTTGCATCTTTAAAAACCCTGACAGTTTATTTTAAATTATTCTATTCTTTCTCTTGTTTCAATAAGGAACTATTCAGCACTCATTGCTCTTCCAGAATTCTCATTCCTGTGAGCTTTACCTGAATGAGGAAAGCAGAAGGAGCTCTGTAGTACTGCCATGCAAATTGTTTGATTTTTGTATAGCAAAGGTTGGCAGTCATGTTTAATTTTATTTGAATAGTGTTGTAGATTTGAATGGATCTGTCAGTGAATTCCTTAAATATGTTTATAAATGGAGGAATTGAACATTTGGTAACTCCCATTTGCATACCTACAATATTTATGTAGAACAGATCAGAACAGTAGAACGAAGTAGAATGAAATAAACTTTGCAGCATTGGGACTTGAAGGTGAATAGACTTTGGTTAATGAGTTTGGTCTTTCATTTATTTTCCTGAGTATTTTCAAAGAATTTTATGTTTGGTACGTCCAAGTGGTGTGAGAGTAGTAGGTATCCTCTTTATAAAATGCTAGCTTTTATGTTCTTACTATAAAATTTCTTCTAATGTGGACACTAAACATGGAAATAAGACCATCTGGGAAAGAGTAAAGTGTTGCCCAAAACCAGGCTGATTGTGCAGGAAAAACAGGGAGGGGAGGAATATGGATGTGAGAGTGCTAATTTTGGGATTAATGCAATATTTTAAATTGCAATGGGTGTATTATGTAAAATTGCTTATATTTTAATTGATTATGTCCCTGATGTAGGTGTTGCTTTAGCAAATCTCTGATTTTTATGTTAGGCCAGCAAAATGAGACGACACATTCGTTCCCACACAGGAGAGCGTCCCTATCCCTGTGACCTTTGCAGTTATGCCAGCAAAGATGCCTATAAACTGAAAAGGCACATGTTAACTCATACAGGTAGGACTCTGGAATGATCAAGTCTATGGCCTTAGGCCCTTAGCATTCATAGGGTTAGAATGATATAATTTCAGACTCTAAATTAGTCCTTTTTTAATTTGTGATTTTGAGTAAAAACGTGTGAAAAACATGTTCTCTTCAAATGTTCTGGATTTGGCTATTGGAGATCTAGCTGTACAGTGCTATTAGTTAGTCTTGCTGCTCTTCCTGAACTTCTTTTATATTAGGAAAATATTTCCTTTATGTGCTGTTATTTTCTGTGGATCAGGTTGTCACTTTTATTTCTTGATTATTTGATTTTATATGGAGTGTGCCTGATGGGAGACTTTTAAATGTCTGTTCAAAACATGGACATTTCTGTGGCCCCGGACTGGTAGCAACTACTTTGGTCAAAAGGATTAAATTGCTTAAACATTGAAAGCAGTGTGTTCCAGTCACAACTCTGTAATGTGCAAGTCTTCTGAGAAGGCAGTTGGTACCTATCCTGTATTTCAGGGTTTAACTTAACTCAGTTATGATATATAATGTGTGTTATAGTTGATGCTTTAGTTTGTTTCAGAGTGTGACAGTGTGGTTTGAATCAAATCTTCCAAATATCCCCACTTAACCCTCATTGGTTCATATCTTGAGACAATTTTTGTAGATTCTGGAAGCCCAAATTTTGTGTTGTAATCAGTTATCTAAACTTATGGAAACTTATTTAGCCATTTGTGCATTGTCAGCTAATAGTGACTTTTGGTCGGTGTGGAGACTGTTGCTGTTAGAACATGTTGAGGTCTGTGGGAATTTGCACTTGTATCAAATGACTAGACCTTCTAAGCACATGTTATTTTAATGTCTTTTTAATAGGGGAAAAACGCTATGAATGTTGTGTTTGCCGGGCCAGATTCACTCAAAGCGGTACCATGAAAATCCATATGTTACAGAAGCACGGAGAAAATGTCCCAAAACACCAGTGTCCACACTGCAGTACCCTTATTTCCCGAAAAAGTGATTTGGGTGAGTTTGAAGGAAAAAACTGAACATGAAACTTAGAGATAAGTAAAGGTAAAATTTCACCAAATATGTTATATTTGACTTCATACGATCACAAAATACTTCTGTGGAAAATGTATTTATGTTTTACAGGTAAGTTCCTCCTGCAAGGAGATGTGGTGACATCTTGTGGTTGATGTTTTAATTTGTTTAAAATGTAAAGTAGCAAAGATTTAGCTTTTTCTTTAGCTCAATGCCTGTGGCACTGTGACCTTCTGTCTTTCAGTAAGAAATGTTTGAGGCAATAGAGCTGACCAGTAACTACAAAACCTATATAAAATTTTAAGTTTCCAGAAATATATGAAAAAGCTATATTAAAGAAATACTTAAACATACAAAATGCCTTTAGAATCTATTTATGTTTTCAAATAAAGATCCAACTGAAATATGGTAAATATTTGAAGGTAGAAGTGGAATTATTATTTACGTACATACCATTTCTTCATGTATTTTTGCAGTGTTCACTTTTATATTGTAAATACTACTTTGGGTAACATTTTTCAATGAATTGTTGTGTACAGACTAATGCAGGGGGTTACTGGAATTTTTGAAAGTGGTTTGTTAAGCAATTTTCATTGAAATCAACATGATTGATTTCTGTGGAAAGTTACACCACCTTGCTGCAACTTTAGTTGTCTTAAACTGATTTGGCTATTTTACGTGTACTGGAGAGAGCACTGAAGGTTCTTTTGTGTTTGCATTACTCAGGGGTGTAAACAGTCCATCTTTTAGTCAAAATTGTGGAAACCAAAAGCTTGCTGTTAAAATGAATTGTTTTGGATAACTGTTCAGGTGTCCACTTGCGAAATCTTCACTCCTACATGGAGGAGGCCATTAAGTGCAGTGCCTGTGAGGCAGTTTTTCACGAACGCTACGCTTTCCTTCAGCACAGGAAGACTCACAGAGGAGGAAAAGGATTCAAATGTGCTCAGTGCAGCTACACGTGTAATCAGGTATTTAAATTCCCTGAGAAAATACTGCTTACTCGCTTGGCGGTTTGGCAAGGTGTGGTTGGCTTTGGGGTTATATTTACCTGAAGAGAATAAAAGCTTTTGTGCCTGCGGTCTGACTGAAATAGTGTAGTTATATTTATTTCCAGGATAAATTGTTCACAAACAAACAGTGAAAATAAAATCTTTTTATCAAGAAAAGTATTCTTGATAAATCTTTTGTACTGCTTAGAAGTATCTAGTATCAAGTAAGAGCAATCACTTTTGGTGATGTCCTGATAAGAACAAAATACAGCGTTTGAGCCTGAAATGTGATTTTCAGCAGTGACACAGAATGAATTCAGTCTGAACTGAAAGTTGTATTTTAAAGAGTACATTTAAGATATTTAGGATAGCTTTGGCCTTGATTTGTTGGAATGTATCATTACTCTGGTCTGGTTATTTTCTCAGCAATCCTTAATAAAGTTAGGAGGAAAACCTCTGACCTTCTCCACGGGGGAGCAGTATCCCAGTGTGTTCTTCAGCATCTGCTCACAGTGGAGGATAAATAAGGAGTCTGTGCAACACCCTAACACTTTTCTGGTGCCTGTGAGAGTTGTTTGTACATGTGTCACAGAGCTGGGTAGTAATGTTACAGATATTTTTGTGCTGAATTGCACATAAACAAACCCATGCTGGTGAGAAGCCCTTCACTTGCTCGTGCTGCAGCACAAGCTGTTGATGGAAGCAGCTCCTCACTCTTCCCTTTCGGAAGCACCAGGACTGTAGTGTTAAGCCCACAGTTTATGAGTGCCCTAAATGTGGTAAGGGCAAAGATAGATAAGGGCAGGGTAAGATACTTCCTTTAAGGGAGCTCAGTGGAGTTACCTTCAGAAAGTATTGCAGATTGTATTGGCACAAGGGACTATTTACAAGAGCATGTAGTGACAGGACAAGGGGGAATGGCCTTAAACTGACAGTAGGTTTAGATTGGATATTAGAAAATAAAATCTATTGTGAGGGTGAGGAGGCCCTGGTACAGGCTGCCCAGAGAAGCTGTGGCTGCCTCATCCCTGGATGTGTCCAAGGCCAGGTTGGACAGGGCTTGGAGCAACCTGGTCTAGTGGAAGGTGTCCCTGCTCACTTCAAAACCATATGCAATGAGAACATATTTCTCATTTTGAGTTAACTGTGCACACTTTAAAGTAAGTGTAACCTTTTTTCCACATACAGATTTTATATGTAAAACTTTATTGCTTATCCAGGAACCAGAAAATGATAAATTTTATTTTATACCCACCGAATGGCAACATTCCTTTAAAGCAGAATTTTAATACATATTCTGGAAAATCTTCAGGAGTTTTATGAATGTTGTTAACTAAGTCAGTCTTCCACTTAGCATTCCAGAATTTATCTGTCAGAGCCGTATTTGTTTTGTGTGTGTTAAGTTGCTTACATAGATTAATATCTGATTCATATATTTATTCTTCATTATGCTGACAGAAAAATATGCGTAAGCATGCTGAAAATTGTGGATTGGGGAGGACAGAAACTGCTGCACCCAGAAAAAGAAGCAAGGAGAAAAATAAAATCCGGGAGAACCCCAAGCGTGTTAAGTCAGAAGGTAATCAGCAAGTAAGTTAGAATTTAATCATGTAAATTAGATTCAAGACAAAAAGGTTAAGGCAGTGAGTCTTCCCTGCTGTTTAATTACTGTTTCATAGTAAAGCTAACAGTGGAAGAATACTTCAGAATAAGGTTTTTTGTGTGTCAGAAATTCTTGTCATCTGTGTTGGGTCATTGCTCAGGTGCCCATTCTGGGCTGTTCCCCTGCTCCAAACGAGTTCCTAAACTCCCTACTTAGCAGTGCTTACATATATGGTTTTCTTTTCCCTTTTGCAATTTCCCTTTGCCTTTATAAAGGAGAATGAGACCCATCCTGGAGCTGAGGCCTAGTGAGATTTCTTGAGAGCTCATGATTTATAAGACATTGCTTTAATACAGAGCAGATTAAAAACTTTTCGCTTTCAGGGCTCAGATTGCCCGTTAACCACAAAAGGTCTAGTACATCTTAATAAAGAAATTGTTCACCACCTTTTTGTCATACTTGGACCAGGTAGTGATCAAATAATAATAAAATGTTACTGATTTAAATGGCCTCTCTCACACTGCAAAGATGAGCTGGCCCATTTATGAAGCTCTTGGTCCAGCACATCTGTAGAGTCAGAAAATCACCCATAATTACTCAGGGTTGCTCTCTGTGGGTAGCTCTGGAGCACTGAGTGTTTATTCTGTCACTTCAGTCTCTGCACTGTTGCAGGGTGAGAGCTGGTTGTGCGTTTCCAAGGTCACCTTCAGGGCCACCATGGCCAAAAAGTAGCTTTGCCTGAGCAGAATATTCCATCGTTTGCCCCTGTGCTTCCCAGATGGTGTTTGAAAGCCATAATAGTCTCCTTGATAGGATTCCTCAGGTGATTTTTATGGAGTAAGAGACAAGAATGCAGATACATCTTTGGCCTAGGTGTCCAAAACCTTACCTTTTGATGTATCAGGTTGTATCTGCACTGATTCGTGGCCAGTGACCCTGAGAGAAAATCTGACATAGTGTGAGAAGAAGAAATGTTGGAGCTTTTCTGAATCTAATGAATATATATCAGCAGCTGAGTTTACATTAGCATTGACACTTCTGTTTTCACTGGTGAGGCTGTAATGGTATGGTTAGAGAGAAGTGTTACAGCTGCAGTGTTTATGTTTTTGCAGTAATTAGATTTTGCTGTTATTAATGTTTTCCTACATGGAAACAGCTTCTTTTTGATATCTTGCAAATATCTTCATCTGAAAGCTTGATTTTTCTAGAGCTATGATAATGTATTTTTAGATGTTTTTCATGCAAATACTCAGTTCATAAATTGACTCACACAAATATTAGAAATTTCTGTGCTGTTTCAGAAGGTTTTCCCCCAAAGTTGATGTTTGCAAGTTTTTATATATCAGTGTCCACTTCCTGCACAACTTGAAGGGGCCTGTGGGATCCTATATGTGGCTTTACAAAAGACAACTTGTGAGAGTGGTGTTGTCAATGATTTGCTCTTGCTAATAAAAAAGAAAAAGGATGCATATGATAATTAAATTTCCAGTTAAATAATGCTTAGTTTTCCTCTGATGAGAATACCATACTCAGTAATGTGGCTTGTAATGTAATATTTGACCTAAGATAGATTCATTCCCCAAATAAAGTGTAAAAGATGTTGGTACATATTGGCAGTGTTTTCTCCACTAAATTAAACTGCATATTTGTTAAATTTATTGAAAGATTTACTTGTCTTTCTGGTTAATCATCACAATATTTAATTCTTTTTTTCTCAAAGTTACCCTGAAATCATTCCAAGATGAAAAATGAACATTGTGCCAGTGAGATTGCTCCTGTTTTAGATGGGATAGAAACAGCAGCTCTGAGAGAAGACAAAACAGAAGCAATTTGTGAAATGGATTCTCAACATGATGGACAAATAACTCACAAACAGACTGATCTTGCTTGTTCTCAGTGGTTGTAACTGACCATTTCAAAGTGTGGAACTACCTCCAGTTAGAAAGTTGGAAAAGGTGCTGGTTGAAAGCTGTTGAAGCCTCTCTGTGCTCATATTTCTTCTTGCTGCAATTTCTGCTGTGTAGCCTAAATACCACTGCCAAAGTGTGAAAATTATAGGGAACCTTTGCCTGGTTTATTACATAAATGTGATAACAGAATGAGGAAAAAAAAAAGCTATTTTCAGAGTAATTTATTAAAAAATGGATAGGTTTGTTTCAGCTTGCATTTCATTTTTCTCCAGCCTTACTCACAGAATTGCAGATTGATCTGAGGCAAAGTTCTGCCTCAGTAGCTCTATAGCACTGAGAGCTGCATGAACTTCAGATGGTTTATGCTTTGCTGGGGTGAGCACATGAAAGGTAGTGATTTTTTAATGCAAGGAACATTTACTAAACCTCCTTTCTGCAGACACTTTAGTTTCTAATAGAATTCATGATCCTAAAACACAGTTTTGTGAAAAAGCATTTCTGTGAAAAATACATGGACAGGAATTACCATTTAGGTGACAGAAACCTCGTTCAGTTTTGTAGTGTTTTGGCAAACACTGAGAAGTCAGAGTGCTTGAATTCATCAAAATTTGTCACTGGCTTTGCTTTTCCATTACAGTTATTTGAGTTATAACGGTACATATTTATTGGTTTGTTTCTGTTTTCACAGTGGTAAAGTTTTAGTAAGCTCATCTGTTCTTAACAGGACTTAAGAGTACTTTCGTCCATGATAATTGATTAAATAATATTGTTCACTTTATTCTTGTTGTGCTGTTTCCATTGATGTTATAAAATCTAAGCAGCAGAGTTGTTTAAATTACTTGATGAATTTTATGAATATATATTATTCATTTAATAGTTGTTAATAACAAAGCTGGCACATTCTGTACCGACATATGAGAATCAGACTACATGAAGTGGAATATGAATGTAGTAATAAAAGATATATTTATATCTGAACTCGCAAAATTATTTTTTCAGTAGTTAGAAGCTGGAAATGCGTCCTTTTGGGGATCAAGAAAGAGTGGTTTGACCTCTTCAGGAGTCATTCCTCGTGGTCCCGTGCTTTATAACAGCAAATGGTGATTGTTCTTCATGATTAAGTATTTGCATAACTATGCAAATACAAATATTTTTGTCATTATTCAGATTGATGTTTTACAAAGATTTAATTATATTATTCATATATTTACACAAGTATGCATGTATCAATATCTTTTAAAGCAATACATATTCTGAACAGAGTCCAGGTTTTTAACTATTTTAATTTAGTAATTTTGGAGGAGTTGCTAAATATACAGGAATTATTCATGTCATGAAACAGATAAGACTGAAGTATTCTCCAGTATTCTCTACCAGCGTTCTCAGATAATTGAGTTATTTGGGAAAGAAGGGGAAGCTTGCATTCCAGGTTTCCCCTGCGAGGTGAAATTGTCCCGCGAGGAGGTGGGGAAGAGGAGCCGAGGCCGTGATGTTCCTGCGGGAGGATTTGGGGAGCGGCCGTTCCCGGCGGTGCCCGCAGGGGGCACGGCCGGGCCGGGAATCGCTGCCTGGGTCACTCCGTCCCGGTCCTGCGGCACTCCGTGCGTGTCGAGGCGATATAAAAAGAGCTCTTTGTTGCTAACAAGTCCTTGTGTCACCACAAAGTGTAGTCGCCCCTGCCGGGAAAGAGGATGGGATGTACACACCTGGCTTCTGATGGAGCTATTAGAGAGCATCCAAAGGAGAGAAATGGAGATGGGGAAGGGCCTTGATTTGAAGCCGTGTGAGGAGCAGCTGAGGGCACTTGGTGTGTTCAACTGGAGGAGACTGAGGGGAGACTTCATTGCAGTTACAACTTCCTCGAGAGGGGCAGAGGAAGGGCAAGACTGAGCTCTGCTTTGTGGGGACCAGGGACAGGACCCAGGGAATGGCCTGGACTTGTGTCAGGGGAGGTTTAGGTTGGATATCGGGAAAAGGTTCTTCCCCCAGAGGGTGGTCGGGCACTGACCAGGCTCCCCAGGGCAGCGGGCACAGCACCAAGGCTGACAGAGCTCCAGGAGGGTTTGGGTGACACTCTCAGGCCCATGGTGTGACTCTTGGGGATGGGCCTGTGCAGGGCTAAGGGTTGGACTCGATGATCCTTGTGGGTCCCTTCCAAGTCAACACATTCTGTGAATCCCAGCTGGGGTGGGATGGGGCTGCCTTGTTGCTCCTGGAATGGGAATTTGTCCCCACTGGGGCTGGCACAGGCTCAGCTGGACAGCCAGTCCGTGATACCCCTTCATCCCTGCACGTGCCTTTGCTGTGTTTGCCCTCAGCTCTGCTTTACTTGGCTGAGTTGGCAGGTGTGTGCCACCAGTGCAAGGCAGGTGCAGTTAACATGCAATTTAATATACATTAGGGGCATGCTAATATATTTTCTGGTACTGATAAAAGATTTTAACGTGTCAGTAAAGTTATTGCTTATTGATAATTTCAGCTGCTTATCTAAGAAATCCTTACCTAAAGAGGTTTTACGGCTTTTAACAAGCAACAGATTTGTTAGACAAATTTTAGAAGTCCTTTAAGGTGAGGTGAAGTGTGCACACAGGCCACGAGGAGTGATCTGGCCCTTTGATAAAGGGTGCACTTGTCAAACCCAGTAGAATTCTTTTATGTGTTCTCCAAGTGAAGTGTTGACACAACAGTGTGGGAACGGTGCACAGTCAGCATCACCACAACACTGGGTCCTTTCATGCTGTGATGTAAGATTTTACCATGGGATGGTCTTTACTCATCGTCTAAGCATTATTCTGGTAGAGTAGATGAGGAAATGGTGAATTTCCAGCTGATTTCCATTTTTGTGAATGTTCCAAGAAATGTTCTTGAACTGTCATCGTAACGTTCCTGCCATCCTCTCCTTTGTATCCAAACTAATCTTTTTCCTGTCTTTCAAATCTTTTTGCTGATTACCAAGTCTGGATTAGGCAAACATGTCTGCTGTCTGTCGGCACCGTCTACTGAAGATCTTTGCCATGATCACTTTTTTGTTAGCTACACAGATTTGGTTATTTAACAATCTCACAACTATACTGCAAAGATAACTGACAAAAAATTAACAGATGGGAATGTAATTGTTGTTGTGAGGAAGCCTCACTTTCTCTCAACTATAGCTGTGTTGTCCCCATTGTACAGATGAGAAAGATGATACACAGAACAAAATTAATCTGTGATTTAATCCTTTTGCCTTCAGGAGCAATGAAGCCCACTGATGATACAGTATGCTGCTGCTTATTACTAGTTTAATTTCACTGAAGTAGAAATAGAAACCTGGGGTGTTGCAGGGTGTAATGATTAAGTTACATTAGCAGAAGGTGGTGAGCAAATAGGCAAGGACCTGAAGACATAAAGCCAGTGCTTTTAATCACTTCCAGAGACACTAGAATCAGAATATTAAAGCTGAAAAAACATTTATAATTTCTTAAAGGTCAGTGCTTAAGATGATATGAAGGCACTCTGGCAGCATGACTAACAGCCATGGGCATAAGTGTAGAGCATCTCATAAGGAGGAAATACAGAGGATTTTGTCTGATGGCAATTGGAAGGTTCATAGAGGAGACACAGGTTCCATAGTCTTAAGACCTTTCTGAAGTAGGAAGAGTAAAATGAATAACGCTTTCCTTTTTACAGAAATAGAGGCCCCTTTTGCTGTCCTTCCCCCTGAATGCAAGCTCCCTCCATGTGGTCCCTAATGTATGACTGAATTATGGCTGACAGGGTTATATATGGCTCTAACAGTAACTTCCACTCTCACAGTTTTATATCTACTTTTTGTTTTGTTTCAGAAACTGAGCGTGCATTTGAAAGCAATTTACATTAATACAGTATGTCTTCAGGCAAACATCATTCCCTGTTGCTGAGCTTTTAAACAGCCCAGCTATTGTTTGAAGTTAGTCACAGAAACAGCTGGGCTCTGTCTGGCACTGGGGGGTGTGAGTGTTTCAAAATGGTAAAGCATTTTTGGACAGTTTTGGTTCAATCTGTTTTCACTTGGAATTGACACTTGACAATGAAGTGTCAATTTCTTTCTCCTTTGGTAATTGAGTTACCTCTGTAAATGATTTTGTTTATTTTATTGTTTATTTTTCGCTTTGGAGGTTTTTTCCCAGATTGTCTGTTGTTGGTTTTATCCCTGCCCTGTCCATAGAACAACATTTGCAGCTAATGGGAGGAATGCAAAGGAGTGACACTGCTGATTGCTTTGATAAGAAAGAGCCTTGCTTTTATTATCAACTAATTAAATGGTAGGTAGCAGCTAATGGTCATTAAAATTAAGCCTTGGAACTGCCATCCTTTTTCTGGAAGAACTGTGTGCTGAGAGAATTAAGCTCTTCTCCCTTTAAGGCAAAAGTGATATTTCGTTTTTCTGTTATAGTCAGTCATCAGTTGTTTCACTGCAAAGTGAAATTTATAAAACTGTTTATAGTTGGTATTTTCCAATTCCATTTTAAATGTCTTACTGTTTGAACTGAGTCATTTATCCCTTCATTATTTAGCATTACTGATTGTGAATTTAAATACTTTAATTTCACATGGGCTGTACCCTCCTGGCCATGCCCTCTGACAAAACTTATACAGGAGTTTTACTTCAGTAAAAATTGTGTGATAATAAATGTCATAAGAGTGTTAAGGTAAGACTGCTCCATCTTTGCATAGGTATAATTTTATAGTCAGTTCAGTTGGTTCAGCGAGTTCATTCCAGTTGAATGCGAAGTGAGACAGAGGGTTTTGGGGCAAACTTCCAAAAACTGACACAAAACCGACAAAGATGATGAGAATACTCAGCACTTTGAATCCAGAAAGATTTATTTCTGCTTCCCTTGCAGTGCCTAAGGAATGCAGGAGCGTGTGGAGGTGCTGCCGGCTCCATCCTGCCAGGAGAACAGCCCAGGAGGGACCTGCTGTTCCTGCCGGGCTCCCCTCGCCTGGCAGATGCAGGCTGGCTGCAGGAGGTCACTGTGGGCAGCCAGGCTGCCCTAATGTGGGGTTTTCTCCTTCTCAGGAGCAGCTGATTGAGTCGGAACAATACTCTGCTTTCCCCATTTGGTGATGAAGACTGACAGTTTGTAGGAGATGAGTCAAAGGTCACTGATGAGAAGATCCATCCAGATAATTGCTGTAATTGCACCCTGAGGATGCAGCTCCTGTCACAAAGCATCAGGCAGTGACTCTGTTGGTAAATATATACTTGGAAGTGAACTTCATCCTGTGCTTTAAATCAGGAAAGTTCGTTCATGAGATATAAATGGAGAAAGTTCTCTTTTTTTCTTAATCCAGCCATGTTTTCTCCTGTTGGCAGATGAATAGGAAATAGCCCCATTCTGAAACAGAGGAGTAATTGTGATTTAAACATAAAATTGCCATTTAGTGTTAAATCCTTTGATGAATACACAAGCTGTTGTTACTTCACAACAAATATCAATAAGCAGCATGAATGAATGAATATACATAATTCATAATATTTAACTTGAAAGTGAAACTTTTTCTTATAGTGATTGATTCATTTTTTTATGTTTGTCCAGTGACTTCTTTACAACTTAATACAAAAACCTTTTCTGATGGAGAGTGAACAGTAACAGATACAAGCAGCAGGCCTGCCACAAAATTAGCTCTTTATTTCACCCTTTCACAAGGCCCAGAAATCAGCAATGCTAAAATATTAGGATGAGAATTCATAGTGGGGAATCAGAAGCAATGAAAGGATGTAAAATTTCTCAGATTATCAGTACTTGCTGTTAAATTAAAACTCAACTATTCTGATGCAAAACTCAAAATTAAGAGCCTCATAACAGCTAGGTAGCAATTTTAGATATTGGGGCCCTAGTTTCTTAAACTTGTAGATGAGAGGAAGGTGAAACCATTTGGATTTCCTAGAAAACATAAGGAGTTTGAGGTTATTTATACGTCTCAAAATGCAATAAAATATAAATCTAACTTTCAGAAGCATCAGTGGCTCGGTCTGCGCAGGGTTGGGTGGTGCTGTGGTACCCAGTGGTGTTTCCAGGTGAACAAAATCTTGTGTACTCTGGCCTGTTTGTGAGTGCACTGGGTGTGAAAGCAACTGCCCTCTATTTAATGGGTGTAGGCAAAGCTGTTTCGTGTGATGTCCACTGAAATCACTGATCAAAGATTAATTTTTAATTTTCAGAATTCAGGCTGTTCTGTGGCTGTTTACAAAACCAGAAGAATTCCCTCTAAGATTTTGCAATAATGACATTCATGATCAAATCCTTATTTTTGGAAACTGAATTTTTTTGTTGTTTTTTAAGTGCTCTGACTTGAGGAAATATATCTTCCCTAAATACATGTGTACTCTTGCTTAATTAAGAAGTAATTTACGTAAGTCCTTGTGCTGCATGATATAGAGACCGTGAGCAAGGAAGTGAGGAAGTGATGAAATTTGTTCCCTTCTAGCCCACGCTCCCTGGGACACTCATCTAGCCTGGGAATCAGCACAAGCAGGGCACATAAGTATATTTATTTACATTTACCATGGTGCTTAGCTGTTAAGAATGTCCTTTTCTTTTGAATATGACTCAATTTTTTATGACTGTGCGTTTAGAAAGCAATTGTAAACAGTATTGATCATTGACAGCAGCCTGTTCTTTGCAGTGTAGATAAACTTTCTGTTCCAAGCTTATAAAAGGTACAAAAATAATGACATCATTTCATGTTTCTTTGTAATGTTACGAAACCAAGCCAGCCTTATGCTTCTTACTGAGCAGAACTAAAATCCCAAAGCTTTGTGGTTGCATTGCTGATTGAAAACTGGGAAAATAAATAACACCATTATCAATCAGTCAGCCCTTGGCTCTTAGAATTTAATTATATGAAGAACGAGAAACATCAAACAGAGGTCGTGCTCAGTAGGGAGCTGAAATGGCAGGAACTAACTCAAATATAAAGATTATGTTGTGGTTTTTTACCTCAAACAACTGTGTTTGAATGTTGTCTATACCACAGAACACTTCCTATTTTAATAGACTGTTTCTTTGCCCATAGGGGAATTTTTCTTCCATTTTTTTTTTTTTTTTTAGCAGAGGTCCAAGGGATTGGAAACAAAATGTTTGTTTTTGAAAGAAGTTACAGTGTTCTTTTTCTGTCAAAACTACATAAAGGATTGTGATTCCCCGGCCATTAGTGAGGAGGTGAGTGAGCATCCAGCATTACACATGATCCTGTTTATTAACAGACATTTTCATTCACCATTCAGGCTCTGTGTGTCCTGTATCAGTTTTCTATGGTTACCAGAAGCTGACAGAATGAAGAAGTGCAGGGTAACCTGGTGTTGCTCTAAACAAAGGCTTGTTCCTCTCCGATACTCTCTGGGGCTGGTTTGCATGTTGGGGCATGTTCCTTCATACCAACATTTAGACAAAGGCAAGGGGAGAATAACGTTTTCTGGAAACTACTTTGGTCTTTTTCAATCTGCTGTTATTTCCTCCTTCCTGGATTTTTCTGTACCAACTCCAAGCAAGTGTGATAGGGAAGACAAGTACCCGTCCCTAAACTACATGCTGGTGTAGATACTGTAATAATTAAGCTTTGCTCTCCTGTTACAGTTTATTCAGTCAAGTTTCTTTTATATTCAGTGAAATTGCTGAGACTTTCAGGCTGTGGTATCAGACATAGTGATTTACATCACATAACTCTCATGCAAGTATTAATATAAACTTGTCTTTACTGCTAAGTAGGTACTAACATAGTCATAAGAAAAATTGTGCCAACATAGATTAGTACATTTATAATTAGATGAGTACAAATTGTTTGTGGGTCTCAGGCTCCATTTAGTACAGTAGAATATGCATGCAATCTGTAAAATGGAATGATTCCCTGATTACTTTGGTTGAAATTCCTTTGAAATAACAAACATGTAGTTCAGAATAGAATTTTACATTTTTTGTATTTGTTCAATAGCAGTCTGATATTATGGTTGTCTTATTTATGCCTTTTGTCACTTATTCGTGCCCACCATAGGTCTTGATATTTATTTATGATTAATTTAGTTTCTTTAATTCAAATATGCTCTTGAAAGTCTCTCCAAAAGCTCCTGCTCGTGGGAAACTAACAGGCTTACACCAAACACATCTGTCACTACTAAAAGCTATTTGATAAGAGACTTGGGAAAAGATGAGTTCTTGAGACAACTGCTGCACAGGAGCTCTG